GATGACCTTGGAACATGATATATATATATATATATATATATTTGTCGAATTCCTGACTCACCCTGGGAAACCTGTCTGTGAAAAATGGTCATGGCTTGCATCACAGGAGCCCTTGTGATGTTTGTTGCGTTCCCTGGTTGGCAGTTGATGGGTGCCCCAAGTTGCATATCAATCTATCAAGTGGAGTCAGCCCCATTGTCAGCAGCCTACGAGCATGATTGGAGCTTTGACGGAATGAACGACCATGCTTGTGACCGGGAACAGTATCGCAGATAGGGACTGAATGAATCTATTTGAACAAGACTTCTTAGCATAGCCATCCTCCGGTGAGCAGCGCCCAGACCCTGTCTTTCTGTCAAACATGGCTATGAAGCCAAATAGTAGAACCACCTACGCAAGTCGCAAGCAAGGCTTTTTGGAGTTGGTCAACTCCCATGACGACCGTGCCGACAGGCGGCGGTGTGGGCGCCAGCTCCCAGCACGTAGATTCCTGGCTTGCCGAAGATTCGGGCGTGTGTGTTTCTCTAAGGTTGGTTGAAAGGGAAACCAAAAGGACCACCCTTTGTGGAGCTCCCCTATTTTGGCACATACCCACTCCAACCAAAGATAGGAAGCAGCCGGCGGTCAAAGATCGGACAGCGAGCATACACTGGTGTAGCGAGCCTTGCAAAAGTGCCCTGCATTCAAAAAAAAAGAAGAAACCAAAGCAGCAGCAGCAAAAACACAATTGCGACCACGATCGCAGCGACAACGGACGACAAACAACGGACAACAACCCAACATAACCCAAACCACCCCACTCCACCCCCACCCAACCCCAGCCGCTGCCACCATCATCGCTGCCACCACATTTTCCAGACACGGCTACGACTGAGATCGTCCATTTCATCAAAGGGAGGGTAGCTTGGCAAAAGCTCCAAAGCAATGATCCTTTCTAGTTTGTTTTCGGGTCGTGAAAAACCAGAAATTTCTCTGTGTGTGTGTGTCACCCAGAAAGGGTACATGTAGGCGTTCCTCAACTGTAAAGGAGTTCGACTTCTCAGTTGAAGGTCAGTCAGGGCCAGCTAAACAAGTAGATCAGCCCTTGGCATGACTTGTTATGCGTGTCATCCCATTCAGCGGGTTGGATTGGGAAGAGAGGACAATCTCAGCCCACACGCATGGTTTTTTTATTTTATTTTTTTTTTTTATCCAAGCAATACGTGGTCATGCCCACTTGCTTCCAAATCACAGGTAAATCATGAAGGCAAAGCTTCCAACATTGAGCAATGCTATCTCAAACCAAGCACCAAAGGCAGCTCGAGTTTACCTCCAAGACCGATCCTGGCTTCGACTCAACGGAGCAGCGCCTACCTTCAACACGGTAGTAAAGTTTGATAGTAGCTTTACATAACTATAATCCCAATCAAAGCGGTAGTAGAACGACCTGCTAAAATGGCCAATGCGGGTTGGCGCTGCTCAATTTGAGCTCAGAAAAACACACAACTTCCAAGGCCATCCCAAACCCAACTTCCCCCTCCTGCGAACTCCACTGGCAGCATGTGCTTTGCCTGATACAGACAAAAAGTTCATTCAAAGTTCACGTAGAAACATTAACAGTCATACCTTCAAATATGGCCTGCAGCAGGACCCCCCTTCAAAAATGGTTGGCGGCGAAAATAATCATGCAATTGACATCCGGTTCCCTTTTAAAATCATCACCCTCGAAGAAGACTGTGAACAGCAGTGTCAGTGATGACCTCAGGCAGAGCAAAAAAAGCGCGTGCGATGTAGCTGACAAGCGATGCTGTGGTTTAGAAGCTCCTTTCTCCTTGCCGCAGAGGATGCAAAGTCTGCTACTTGGCATCCAGTTGAAGGAGCCGCACATGCGGACGTGGAGTGGTGGTTGATTGGCACTCCTTGTTGCACTAGCCGAGTGCCGGAGGACTCCATGTACGGGATTCATCTTTAGCCACAAACCCACGTCTAGCTGGTATATGTCAGTACCCTCCAGATGAAAAAGATGGAGACCCCCTTCCAGAAACAATCAATAATGGTTGAGTCCGAGATGTCTTCTATCCTGCGCTTTGAGGTCAAGTCAGCATGAACAGGGGGGTCGGTTTGTCAAAAGCAGAGGCCCTTTTTCAGTCTGTGCCGCCTTGTGAGGGACCTAAGGAGGGATCCATTGGTACCTTTCAACAGGGTTGGAGAGGGGTGCCATGCCTTGGACGCTTTCTCATTGGCCACTTGCATCACCCGCAGATTCCTGCATCTGCTCGGGAAGCCAAGAGTAGAAGCTTGTTCTCCACATCCGGCAAGCCAAACGAGAAACGGAAAGAAAACGTCCCAAGATATGTTTTTCTTTCTGACCTTGGGGCGGATCTTCCGGCGGTCAAGGAGGCCTGCGTGAATCCGGCGGAGCCCGTCATGGAGCCCACCACGCCCCCGAAGAGCACCACGCCGATGGCCTGCACGCGGCTCAGACGGGCTTGGCTCAGCGCAGGTTTTCTTTTCGCCAAATGCCGGTGGTCAAAGATGGGGCCACCCCCAAAATGGCACCCTACGGGTCAAAAATAGGTACCCAAAATGGCACTGGTGAATGGAAACAATGACTAAAACCTGTCCCCTGGTGGTTTGGAATTTTGACCCATACCCAAATGCAAACTGAAGCGGATTGTTCCATGGGGCTGAAGTCCAAATCCCACTCTTGTCAGATACATGAAGGTGACAGAGAGAGCAGAGATTGGTCAAGTTCGGCAAGGCTGTTGGGAACGCAATGGATCCTGCAAAATCCCCCCCTAAATCATGCGAAACTCTTAAGAATCAAGGAATCCTGAAATCCTCCATGAACGACCGCATTTCTGATTTCCAGGGTAGGGTCAGATACATGAAGGTGACAGAGAGAGAAGAGATTGGTCAAGTTCGGCAATGGATCCTGCAAAATCCCCCCTAAATCATGCGAAACTCTTAAGAATCAAGGAATCCTGAAATCCTCCCATGAACGACCGCATTTCTGATTTCCAGGGTAGGGTCTGTCAGGAGTCCGGAGAGAGCTACAGAAAATGCTGAAAAGAGCGGCTACCTCTCTATCACACACACACACACTCACATGTGCATATATATATATATGAACATGTATGTACATACATGCATATAATTGCACGACGAGCTTCTGCATCCTAAAATCTCCAGACGCCCCGCTTGCAACAGCTTGAATTGGGCGGCAATGTTGAGCACAAGTTGTTTCAGGAGAGAAACAAGCAGCAAACGGATATGTTGCTTGCTAAACAAAAAGGTCTTTTGATTGATATGACAATAGCAAGATATCCCTGAAAAAATGCAACTGCGCAGTGAATTGGCATTGATACATCCAGGGGGACCATCATATTCCACACCCTCTAAAAATGCATCCAAGACGATCAAACATACTGCCCTTTGTCATGGCCGTCGCAATCTACAGTGACTAGGAAAGGTGCCTTGTCACTGCCTTGGATTGGTACTTTGTTTCCCTGTGACTTCAATGGGTTCGCTCGTGCTAGATATTCCGTGCTCTGCCAACCTGACTTGTCACCCTTGTCATCCTGTGTTCGATGCGCCACAAAAGTGAAGACGGGCATGAGCAAAAATGTGTTTTTATCACTGTCTCTTGTGTCATCCATTTTGCTTGCAGCTCATTTTCAGGGTTTGGTTTGCGAAATAATCAGTCTGCGGGCAAGATGAACAGTGCGGGATGTCCATCACTGGCTGGGCCCCCGAAGTCCCTTCAAACCGCCAAACCCATTCAGCCCTCCTTCTGAATATTGTTCAAGACAGAAAAACGCCTCCCAATCGCGCCTTGGGCGGATTTGAAGGCAGCATCCTGGGCTGCACGGATTGAAGGCTAGAATTGCATGCCCGTTTTGTGGCTTCGCTCCGACAAGCAACTTGGGCTTCAGCCCTGGTTACATGTTAGATAACAGGAGGCTGTAAACACATCATACAACCATGGTTCTAGCCTACTCACTGAGTAGGCTGAACCTCCATCAGCTCCAAGCCCAACAACAGCGAGAGAGGCAAACGCAAATGTCCCATGTCACAAGGCTCACAAGAAGTGTGCAGCGCCGTTTCATCCATTGATGTTCGGCTCCACCAATATGCCTTCATAGGCGTCCACCTACTCAAGTGGCCAGCAACAGGGGTTTTAGGCTGGACACAGGATGCCCTGACCCAGACCTCCCACTGCCAGGACATGTGTGTGAAGTTACTTTCGAAGGGTCAAACGGCACTGCAACACCTGCTTCCTGTTGCTCCTAGCCACCAACGACTACAGTGTTCCATAGCAACGGGCTCCTTCTCTCGCGTCCCCGTCTCCCCCGGTCAAGGCACAGCACCGCGCTGAAGCGGTAGTTCTGCGCGTGGGCCAAGCTAAAGCCCATGCAGGCGGCGCCGAAAAGCTGCAGACCTCTCCCGAAAGCCAAAGGCCAAACCTCCGTTTCCAGTGGCTTGGAATTGGCTACAAAGGAGCTGGACTATACACCTCACGTGTGCGCGAACGAAGCCAAGGAAAAAGGCAGGCCTTGGACGGAAGGAAATGGATCTGAGAAAGACACCAATTCAGGAAAAGCACGCCAAAAGCTGTGACCTGAGATTACATCATTTTAGTAAGACTATGCACACATACATGTAGAGCAAATACATGCAGCTCCTCAACTTATTTTTGGCTTACCGTGTGTTGCTTTCTTTGTACCTCCCATAGTTTTTGTTCGGGTACCGGTTTTTCTTGGGGTACCGTCCATAGTAAGGGAGAAGTCCAACAAATGAGACACAGTCACTGACTCGACATCTTTGGCGCCCGTGGGGCTGAAGCACATCAGGCACCAATGTGAGAGCATCGTTGGGCTTGGCTCAAACGGGAAAACAAAGGGAATCCACTCGCTTTGAGGGGGTCCTCCAATTTTGAGACAGATCCAAATCCAGCCAAAACCTCTGCAGCAGAGAGGTCTGCAGTGTGTTCAATCATAGACGTTCGCTGCGCGATCCACAAGAATTGGATTGCAGACGGCTGCATGGTGAGTGAACCGCAAATCATGACCTTTTGCAATACAGGCCAATGAAACCGTAGAACAGCCCGTTCGCTCATTCGCTCCCCATTGATTTGTTTTGTCATTGAGGACCGTTTCGTGACATCGCTTACATGGGGCTTCATCTCCACCAGCCAAAGAAGATACTCCAGGCGTCACAAAGCAATTTAGCTTGGGCAAGTTCAAAAAGCCTACGCTGAACAACGAACCAGCCTGCAAGATCAGTGGGAGACACAAACAAGAAGGAGCTTGCTTACCATGCTCAGGCCATACATATCTCCCGCGCATGCAGATACTTGCGTCTGAATGGGGCTTCAAGGATACCCAAAACCGCTGGCTTTTCATCCTCTAAATCCGCTGGCACTGGTTGACGAGCAGCCGAACTGCTGCACCCAGCAGCCGAGGCCAACCAGGCCGCAACCCAAAAAGCCAATCACCGCGCCCAGTACATAGGCGCCCCTCAGGGCTCCGGCAAAATGTCTCAGCCTTCTGGGTCTTGTACCAACTGCCGTGAGGCTTGGTACCGACTCAAAAAAATCTAAAACAGAAATGCGCCACGATGCGCCTGCTGAAGAACTACTTGTAACAAGTAACGCCAAACGCTCTGCCAACACATATCCTACAAAGGAAGGCAAATCCCACTATTGCTTATATGTTATGTGCTTTACTTATCCAGTGTCTGCGCCCGTCGCTGTCTGCTTGGCTTCTCCTCGTGCAATGCTAGTAATGTGCTGGTGAATGTGCGCCGACAGGGTCAAATCAATCACACGAAATGGAAACTGAACAAACTATGCCACCCATCCAAACCAAAAGTCCACACAAGTTGAGACCAGATTGATCGGTCTTTCAGCAAAGGGCACTTAGTCAAGCCAGCGACGAAGTTGGTAACCCTACCAAACCCCATGTTCATCGGACCATTCGATTGTATGAGCCACACTCAAAACCGGGTAAGGGAAGATGAATCATGCGTGTTCAGTGGAACCAAGGCCTCCTCCTCTTTGAACTGTGTTTTGTAGAAGCTACGCGCACGGTGGAGTCTTGCTTAGCCAGCCGCATCAAACCAACTATTCAGGGACCTTTCGACGACCCGATCAAACCCATAGCTTTGCTTGACATCCACTTTGTGCTACTTTGATCGGCTCCACTGTCCCAACAAATAGAACGATTAAATGACCTTCAATATATATATATATATATATATGCTATAGTCACTTTGGGTATGCCAAAAATAAATCATGCTGCAATGTCTGTGGCCTGTTCTCTTGAATCAAGACTCCTTGCCGTGAGTCACAGCTATTGGCTTCCCCTTGATCTTCCTTTCAAAAAAAGAATGAGAGGCTCCCATAGAAAAAGACTCAACACTATCCAGATTCTTTGCTTCAGCCCAGATTCTTTAAGCCGAGGCATCGCTTCTCGGCGGGCAGCACCAAATTTGCCACGCCTAGCGCAAGGGAAGCATCAACTCGAGGAAATGGGGATGTCAGAATGCGGTCACCCCGCTGAAGCCGCTCTTGAGAAAGATGTTACTACCCACACCCAACTGCCCGTTTGGCGACATCGCCCTCTGACAAATTGACCTGTCAACCTGCCAATTCGAGCTGTTGGCACACAAATCCAATGCTAACGCGTTTCACCCGACAGCCACTCGGGTGGAAATCACAAACAATTCACCTTGGAGCCAGTTTTAACCTTGGAGCCCAATGTTACTTCGTCATCTTTGGCACCAGCGTGCCTCCAAAGCGACCCTCCAACCTCTGACCACAGCAAAATAACACACCAAACTGCCAGACTTGAACGTGGTGATCTCAGGGCCGGATGACTCGCAACACTGCCAAGATCTTTCTGTAAGGCACTGTGAGACCTTCCAGTGAAAAGGTCTGGGCAAAAGAACGCATCGCGTTTGCGGCCTTAAAAATGCATGAGCTGCTTGTCGTCACCAAATTGGAATGTGCATGACCAGATTCCTCGCATAGATTGCGTGTATGGCAGTTGACAGTGCATGCACTAAGCAAAGCCAGAAGTTACATGAGCACATCGATATGGGTATGAAGTTTTAATTGGGACCCGTCAAAAATGGTTGGTGGACACAATCCCTATTTAAATGATGTCTGCCTCAGGGTTCTTAAATGAAATTCACACTATGGCCTGCATTTAAATGTTGCAGAATCTGCCGATCTGATTTCTTTCTGCATCTTGCCCTTCGGGGTTGTTGCCTTGAAAGACCAGCGCCAGCGCCAGCGGCAAAGTTTCCTCAGAAATGCAGCTCGTGGGTGTGATGTTGGCAAAGATGGTTTCCTCAGTCAGTTGAAAAATATATGTCTCAATGATTTGGGAACAAAAAGACATGTTTCTGGAAAGGTCTCTGAAGCCGTCCACTGGCCGATGCCCATGCAGGTGTAACAGGGATGGCTTAGAGGCGTTGGTCTTACGGCGTGGGATCCGACGTGAACCTTCCAGGATCCAGGCGGCAACAGCCGCATTGCGGGAAAACCATCCAGGATCCCAACTTTGAACACGCGCTCGAAACCCGACAGTCTCTTGGTGTCGGACTCTCAATTTTCATGTGTACATCCAGAACAAGTGTGCCCTGGGTCGGACAAGAAGGCCATCCAAAAAAGAAAAGGGGGCAACCCTCGCAAAAGACGACTTCTGGTTTCTGGTTTGTGTGGGGGGAGGGGGGGGAAGGGGGCAAGGGGGAAAGGAGGCAGGGGGGAGGTGGGGAAAGGGGAGGGGGGGGGGTCGATGTCATTTCTTCCAAAGCGCCGCGCCCGGCGGCGCCACCGGCGAGGCCGCCAGGGACAGCGTGACCACCGCCGAGGCGAAGACGCTCATGGCGCAAGCCCAGGCACCTGGCGAGGCGAAGCCTTCGCCTTCGCGCGTTGGGGACGGCTGAAGGAACTCCTGCGCTTTCCGGAGGATACACTTACAAAAGGTTTGCTCCTTGGCTTCAGGGTCCTTTTGGAGTTGGTTCCTCCTGGGATGTGAAGAGAAACCAGAAGATGAGGAGTGTTTTGTTTCTTGCTTTGTTGGGAGTTGGTTTTCTTTTGGAGTGGGTCTAAGCAGAAACCAGGATGAAACGCCCCCAATCCACCCACCCACTGCAGCCTCCGCCGCTTCTGTATGCTTTTCATGGAAAGAAGAGATCTGTCGGAACTTCAAACACTAGACAGAGAAAAGAACTCACCCAAACATATGCTTTGGGGGAAGCCTCTCGTTGTAGTGGACAACTAGGAAACTACGCGCATTCCTGGCGGGAAGAGCTCTGAACCTGTCCCCCTTCTTCCTGCCCCAGGCCCCCCACACAAGAGTCCTGGAAGCCAGCCAGCCATGCGGTGGTGGCTTGCATGAAAAGAAGCACCCCGATAATGATGGTGATGATCATGATGAAGATGACGATGATAAGATCATGATGATGATGATGATAATGATGATGTTGCTGATCATGATCATGATCATGATCATGATGAGGATGAAAACGAACATGATGATCATGATGATGATGCTGATCATGATCATGATGACGATGACAATGACAATGATAAGAGCATGATTGTGATCATGCTCATGATCATGATGAGGATGACGATGAACATGATGATCATGATCAGGATGACAATGATAAGCTCATGATCATGATCATGATGATGATGATGATGATGATGATGATGACGAGGATGACGATAATGATGTGATCATGACGATGATGATGATGATGATGATGATGATGATGATGATGATGATGATGATGATGATTATCAGGATCATGATCATGATGATGAAGATGAGATGATAATCATGATCATGATGATGATGATGATGATGCTGATCATGCTCACTTTCATGATGATGATGATGATCTGGATCATGATGATGATGATGATGATGATCATCATCATCATGATGATGATAAGATCATGATGGTGATCATGATCATGATGACGAGGATGCTGATCATGATCAGGATGACAATGATAAGCTCATGATCATGATCATGATGAGGATGGCGATGAACATGATGATCATGATGATGATGATGATGCTGATCACGATCATGATCATGATGAGGATGACGGTGATAAGATCATGATTATGATGATGATGATGCTGATCACGATCATGATCATGATGAGGATGACGGTGATAAGATCATGATCATGATGAGGATGACGATAATAAGATCATAATCGTGATCATGATGAACATGATATGACGATGATGATGATGATGATGATAATGATGATGATGATGATGATGAACATGAGTTTGCCTGAGTTCGTCATGGCAAATAAACGTTTAAGGTGGAGAATGATCAACTGTTTGTTCTACCAATATAGCAATAAAGGATTTGACAGGCTAAACTATCACAAGTAAATCAGGTTGCAGAACCACCTACCCAAATTGCCAACACGTATTTTGGGCGCTCAATTAACCCTGATTCACTGTTGGTTGTCGAAACGCCCCGCGTTTGAGGCGGACTTGTGCGCAGTGCGGGCCTGTCAGCAGCAGCACGGATGGCCAGCGGTCCTTCAGCGGCTGGCCGTGATCGGAAAACAAAACGTGCCAATGTTGAGATGGTTTTACACTTCAAGACACCCCAAGGGTAGTAGAGTGGGGTATCTTATGATACAAACTTTACATAGTGGTTGTATAGTGGTTCTATATCTCATGAAACCCGTGAGCATAGTAACTGGAGAGTAGAGAATCTTAGATCAATGCGTCTTTTTGAAGCCTTTGAACACATAACTGTGTGTCAATACCCGGGGACCCTTTCGAGAATTATGTTCGGAATCACGAGGGAGCTGACTCCCTAAATTTGGCCTGCGGGATGTCTTCAATTTGAGGCTGGCAAGGCTGAAGGCACTGCCTACTTACTCCCTCTTGTATTTCCTAGGCTGGGTACGGGCCTCATATTCACCAAACTTGTTTGGTGTTCATGCTGCCTAGTAACACATCCAACAGTCAAATTCTGGCTACTGATTGCTTCCCCAAATCCAATCCGCATTAGAGTAACTCTCAAAAGAAGGAGGCTTTAAACCGGTCCAGTTTTGCCTGGGAGGAAAGGCACAAGCAAGATGCATGTGAAACCATGGGAGATCAGGATGGCAAAATGAATCAGGATGCCCAATTCGCTCCCCTTTTCTCACCCAGTCGGTTGTGGAGCTGGGTAAAAGCCTCCGTCTTTTCCAGCTCAAAACACCTGAAGAGGACTGCCAGACTTCCGGCTCCAAATGAGAAGCTTGGCCAACCGGACCCGCGAGGCCAGGATTATAGGAAGGGTTTGCTTCCGCCATCTTGCGGCAACAAACTCCAGATCGCCAAACAATGCCCATTGCGGGTGGCAGCTTTGTGTACAGCGCACAAGGGCAAGAAATCATGCAACGAACCAGCAGTTTGTGACCCTGCCTCCGTGAAATCCATCTGATTGAAACAACTTTCTTTCAAAGTGACTCGTACTTGATTGATCAAACTATTCTGTCAGTGAAACCCCTAAAAGGAACCTGGCCATGGGTCAAAAGTCGGGTCCTGGCCCATGGTGTCATGTCGGGGTAGCCCCGTTTCGACGGGCCACTTCTCTATCTGTTGCTCAAGGTAATGTCTATCGAAAGCTTCCAAGATGAGGATTACAAATATGTTGTGAAAAACATACTCGTATTGCGTCTACAATACTTTTGTTGCTATACTACTTCATTCACAAACTAAAGGTTGTTTTCAATCATAAAGGCTTAGGAGCTTATGTTTTACTGTCTGGATTCGTCTTTGGAATCTCCAGTACATTAATATCAGTCCTTACGTTCACCAGGAATCCGGATTACAGGTCCAAATAAACAAGAACTTGTCTTTTACAAGCATTACATTGCATGGCTTGCTTATGAATTTAAGTTTAGTATTGCCTGGCTTGTTTGGAGGATTTTGAAAATCATTCCTATTATTGCTGCCTACTCTTGTTATTGTTGTCATTGCTATTAATACTACTCCTAATATTATGATCATTATCATCACTTTATTACTTGTATTTTCACTATATCTGGAAATAGTTGTACGCATGCGTGTTCAGATAGTGTTGCCACGGTTCCAGAACTTGCTGAAAACTGAAGAAGCGCAGGAAAATGACAAGACCTGGGCTCTGTAGGTTTTTGGATGTTCCGGGAGACAAGCAGGAGCGGCTGTTCGAAAGAGGCTTTTCTTGGGAGGAATACATTGCACTTTCATCTTGTCGCATATGAGAAGACAAAATTGAGTGTGTGTGTGTGTGATTTAGTCTAGATCGGAAGGGATGCCCTAGCAACAATAGAATACTTGGAATGACCCCAGGCACATGTGCAAAATGACAATGGCTGAACATTGCTGACAACGAGCTCCAGCTTGAGCATGCATGAAAACCGATCGCCGGACTAGCCAAGGTATTACGCTGTGTCGGCAGCCGGAAAGAATTCCGACCCCCTGCAAGAAGCTGAGCTTGTTCCTTGAGCTTGTTTTTGGGAGATGGGGAAACTGTCATTGTCCAAAGGCCATGGTGTCAAACCAAAAGCAAGCAAGGTAGGATGCTCACCTTGACATTAGATGTCAGCTCTGGTCAGAGAACATGCACAAATGTTATGGCGAACTGCCCACAAAAGATTCTGCACGTATATACACGACATGTACTCTGCAGGCATGATTAAAAGAAGTTTGATGGGCTGCCTGCAACTCTCGCGCCAGAATCGTATCCCTCACTTCTGTCCAAGTCGCTTCTGCCTTGCCTTTCGCGGCATCTGCGTTGACGTTGGCCTCCTTCGGATCCTCAGGCAGCCGAGAATGGTTGGACTCTTGGCTGCCCTTTAAAACCAACCCACGCGGCTTCACAATATACCTTCGTGGCCTGTGGGCAGGGACAAGCCAGCGGTTCCCTGGAAGCCTTGGAGTGTGCACTGACACTTCTACCACTTGCTGTGCCACGTTAAGTTCCGGATGCAAATCCGTCAAAGTTTCATGCGAGCAAATCAAGGTGGGCGCAAATGAAGGTGCACGCAGGGAAAGAGTGCCTTGCACAATCCACAAACAGATTTTCCAAATCATAACCTGACCGACACCGTCGCTTACCAGTTCATTTTGACCAGTTCCTTCCTGAGCCTGTTGCAAAAGCCTCCGAATTCCTTTAAAATCCCTCTTGCTTGATTGCTACAAAGTTCATGGCGATTGCCACCTCAGTCCTGCTTTGCCCCCAATTGTCAGCACGTGTCTGTCAGAACTAGGGATAGGCTCTGACGTGTTCAAACCCCAAGCACATCAGACGCGGCTTTTGGTGCATAACGCCCGATGTGAGACAATTCCGGCTGTGTGAACGGGTTCCAACCGCTGCCTGCTCTGTTGTTCGCTCAGCACTGGTGTACTCCAGCTGCAAAAACGATTGACAAATGGGTAAGTGCCAAAATACAGGGGCCCCGTGTCCTCTCAAAACCCATTCGTAAAAAGGCTACCCTCGCAGAACTGCATCTCACATGTCCCACACAAGCCCAATTCCAGTGCCGCAACAGTGCAAGCAGCACAAGCGAGACCTTCTTTTTGGGGGAAACAAAAAATCAACACCACCGTTTGATCAGTCCCCGTGTTTATGCACACTACCACCAGCTTCGGTTCAATCCTGACCGTTCAAGTCAATCTGGACTCCCTACAAAAAGAAACTGGTAAGCACAAAAACAAGCAGACAAGTGGCACACAGGCAAAAGAAAAATCAAACATGCATCCACATATGCAACAGTTCGCATGCCCTTGCAGTCAACAACTAAAATAAGCTAGCAAGCGAACAAACAATGCAATGAATCCAACTGCACTTTGTCCGACTTCGCAAGAACATGCGCGCTGGATGCATCACCCAAAAATGGCAATGGAACAAAAACTAGCAATTCCCGTTCAGCCTCTCCTCATCCGCAATCGACATCTGTCGCTTCCGATTCAGGTTTTTCCCGGCGCTTCGCTCGGGCTAGGGCAATCGTGTTGCGTTCGAAGTGTTTGGGAGAACCTTAGGCAAAGAAGCGGCTGTGATTTGGTCTGCTTCAAGAGTCGAATGTCCGGTGTTGTTTTCGATCAAACCCACTCTGCCCAAGAGAATTGAGCCACGTGACGCGTTGGGCAGTCAATTTGATTTTGTTTAGAAACTTAGCATCCCAAATCCTGCAAACAAACTCGAATTCCATTTGTCCTCCCTTCGCTGTGCGTAAGGAAATGCTTGGACAATAAACAACCTATCCGTCATATGACACGACACTCAAAAGCCTTGCAAACTGCGTCAACCTGTCATGTTCCTGCTTCGCTCTCCCTTACAGCCTTGCCACATGATGGGTCAAGACTATGTTTGATTCGTGCGTTGACCTGATCCAGAACCACGGCCCGCTCGATTTTACAATCACATGTGTGCGCGGTGCCAAGCCCCTGATCTGACCAAATTTTCTGCTCTTTGTGGAGCACCTTCGTGGACGTCCTGACATGGAGTAGTGTCCTGCCAATGAATTCCCTAATGAGCATGGTCAGTGGCGCGAAAGATGCTTGAACGCGCAACAAGCCCAAACTCTTTTGCCCTAGAAACCTTCAAGCCACTCGGGCTGATCTTGATAGTGCACTTGCGAGATGATCGGAAGGTCTGTTTGGTCCCCCGCGCTGAACGGTTGTTGCTTGAAGTGTCCCTGTTAAGCTACTTAGAGGCAAGCCAGTTTGACTGTACTCGAAGTTTCCCTGAGCATCCAATCCTGATTACAATCATTCGTTTTGAATTTGCAGGGGCGAAGCAATTCTGAAAATTGATTCGCAGCACCGGATCAATATTAGCTCAGGCGGCCATTTTTCTGCCCAGCTGCATATCGATAAGTAATGGTGGGGTTTTTCCATAGCCTTCTCTGGAGTAGCTTTGGTCCCGGGCTCCCAAATGTTCTCGCTACATTCCCAAGAATCTTTTACTTGAGACCACCAGGTGCAACAAGACCCTGTATTTTGCCCCAAGCGTTTGGCTCAATCTGGAGCTTGCAACCCATCAAGGTCGAGCGCGCCACTTTGGACATTTTACTTACGAACTCTTCGGGTGTAGAAGAACCACTGCCGCTTGAAAACTCAAAAAACTTGAGTTGCAAGTGAGTAGAATCTTTCTTAGAACTCCCCAAAGCGCCACATTGGCGCCATTTCCAACAAGCTGCAATTTGTTCTTGTACGAATGGGTTCGTTCCAAAATTGGGAAATGGAGCCCAAGTTTCCTAGGCACCTCCCCAACAGCTGATGTTGTCAGCATTGCCAATATGCGCGTCTTGCGCCCTGTTTTGGCTTTGCAAGTGAGGGAAGCGAAGTTTCAAACAAGACACCGCCCACAAGCACAACATGAAACTACAATCAAATTTTGCTTTCAACATTGTAACCCCCAGGCTCACATTTTATTAAAAATGACGCGCCATTCAAAACAAGGATGTTGACAACATTCGTGAAAAGTGTGACTTGCGCAACACCCCCCCTTGCTCTCTGTCGAGTTGGCTTCCAGGGCACTAGTGCGCCTGGAGCAGGAGGCACATTGACCCCCCGAAATGTGAAAAGGCAAGACAATGCGTGTCCTTGCGTGTAAATGCAGTGCTTGGGGGGCGCGGCATGCGTGCCCACGCCCCAAGGTCCGGAGACCGACAGTCCGGAGACTCGAGGTCCGGAGACCGAAATTGGTCCGGAGACCTGGTCCGGAGACCAAAGTGCCCGGAGGCGACCCACGAAAGTGCAGAGAAACTGCTATCTATCCTGGCAAAGCCTGGCATAGGGCAGTGCAGGGCGGGTGGGTGGGTTTCAGAAATGAAACCGCAGGTTTGGGTCAAGGCTAGGAGCAAAACGGCCAACGCATAGTTCGATTCACCACATGCCCTAAACACAAGGGAAAAGAAACCCTAAGCGTTAAGGCATGTCGCACTGCTCCTAGCTTGAACCCAAACATGAAACCTCAAAAGAACAAAGCTCGTCCGAAGCGGCCGCAGTTCTTTTTACCGGGATTGCTGAAAGTTGCACTGCTTCCAGGGCACTAGTGCGCCTGGAGCAGGAGGCACATTGACCCCCCCTTCAGTGTTTCAGGCAACCCCGGTAAAAGCGAACCCGCTGGGCCGAAGGCCTCATCACCCGCCCTTCAGAGTGACAGTTGAATGCCTCGGCCTGACATCGCTAGGCTTGCAGGGCTGAAGCGTATGCGACTTTCAGGGCGATGGCTGAACCGAGCCAACCGACCTCTGCTGAGATCGTCCGCCCAATCATTGCACCTTCCTGGAATGTGCGTCGGCTGCAGCAGCACGTTGTGAGCGTGAGCCCAGAAGGCTGTTAATTGCACAAAAAGTTGCAACGGCCAGGAGGTCGTGAACAGTTTGTTAAGGCTTGCTTCCGTGGCGGAATTATCTGCGCCGGAAGGCATGCTAAACGAGTAGTGCCCACCACCGATGTGGCTGTGGGTTGCTTGCAGCAGTGCTAACTGTGCAAGAGTTTCAAAGCATGCGATGTACCGCTGTCCTGGCTTGACAAGGCAAGGCCACACGGCTCTTATGTCTTGCATGTTCCAGGTCTCGGCGAACCACACCACTTGGGAGGATGTGATTGCCCAGCCCCCAATCCCCACCATATCATCTTCGGCACACGCGTCGGCGGCAGCCAGAGCTTGCAGCGTGGCCGCGCCAAAGGCTGAATGGGCGAGTGTCGAAAGCACGACGCCAGCCAAGTAAGGCACTGTTGGCTTGACTTGGAAAGGCTGGTGTATGGGTTGTTGGGGTCCGCGATGCGCACCCATGTGGGCTTGCTAGTGCCAGGCACTCGGAATGTCTTGGGGGCAATGCGTGGTGCGGCCTGAAATTTCCAAGATTTTGGAGCCCGCTGTGATCCACAAGCCCGGGAGGCTATGGCTAGTTTTGAGGTCCTTAGTCAAGGATGCTCGAAAGGCTGACCACATTTGCGGCGGTATTGAGTGCATGGAGCCTGGTGGGCTGTTGAGGTCTGCGTAAAGCGGCGCTAGCCAGGACCTGAGGTGTAGGGCAATGCTGGTGGCCCAAATAAGCAGGCCTATGCACTGCTCGAGTGTTTTGCGGGGCACACGTCGATTTCCCAACAGGGATTTGATCAAGGCGTCCAGCTTGGCTAGCTTAGCGGACACGAGCTGAATGGTGTCGTGAGAGAAGTTGATCTCCCAACCGCACCAGACCAGGCTATCCTGGAATTGCGCCTTTTTCCACGAAATGGGTGCTGCAATGGCACAAAAGAAGAGCACCACCAAGGCAAACATGTCTGGCGCGCTATCCCGGAAGAGTGCACAGAGCAGGTCATCCACAAAGAGGAAGGCTTTGTGTGGCTTCCAGGCCAGCAGCCCAGGTGCGCTGCCACCAGAAAGCTGAGAAACGGCCCCCAAAATGGCACACCCTGTAGTGGAAGAGCTTCCCTTGAAAGGCGAAGAGCAGAAGGCCATGCTCTTCCGGGCGGACCTGCACTTGTTTGTGTGCGGCTTTAAAGTCAATGCTGGCGCCTATGAAGGCGCCTGGAGAAGGCGCTCTGGCACATGGCATCTGGTATTGACTTGGCGCACGGTGCTATCCAAGACAAGGCGAGGCTCTTTGCCTTCGGCGAACACGACATTTAGCTTGCCCACGGCAATGCCTAAGGGCCATTTTTCCCGAGCGTCGGCTATGCTAAGGCTGGTTTCAACAATCCAGTTGTTGGCAATTTCATTGCGCAGCAAGCCTTGCACGGTTTCTGGTTCGTCTTCGGCCATCTTCCAGTTACCTTCACAAATTTCCAGATCCGGCGGCGGCACGGAGTCTGGCTTCTTTGCTGGCCATTGAAGGCTTGGTGGCAAGGCTGATACGGCTCCTGTCGGCACTCCGTGTTGGAAAAATGGCAGGAGGGCCATGTCTGGGTCACCCCAAGATTTGGCCAGGGCATGCAGCAGGTGGAGTCGGTATGGCTGTCCTGCCTCGGGGCTCATATCTGAAGGGCAGGGCAGTTTTAAAGCGGTATACGCCAGAGTTGCCACTTCCAGGCTTTCGGAGGGCAAGAGTGGGCAGTCCGAAGAACCGCTTTTGACGTGTGCCAGGATACGTGGCACGAGTTTGCGCTCATGCATCCAGTGCAGCCAGGGTCTGGCGACTGCCTGCAGCGGGTGTTCGGGTTTGGGGAGACACCAATCTGCGGATCAGTCAGTACTGCGCTGCTGCTCAGGACGGATCTTTTCAGGGACCTTGAGTCAATGAAGCCCTTAACGATCGAGGAGGGCGGTCGTCAAGACTCGACAATCGCAAGTTGCAGTCCATGATGGAGGCCTTGAAGGAGGGAGATTCCACTACTGACCAGTACATTGCAGGCGGCAATGTAGCGTGGGTTAGCTGGTCATGGTCTTCGACTGCAAGTGTGCCAGTGTACAAGAGCAGCGTAAAGTGGATCATGCGCACCACGTACAAGAAGCCCCAGCCTATAAATTTGGTGGTGGCAGTGGATGACTTGTTTATGGACCAGAAAGATGGGCAAATGAAGAGGATCAGTCCGGAGGAGGACCATCACACCTTCATCTTGGCCACAGCGAGGGACTTGCAGCAAGACAAGTTCCGGAAGCGGCCAAGCAAAGGGAGGACTACGAGACCATGTACTACAGCTGTGCAACGCATCTTTCAAATAGTGTCCTTCAAGTTGAATCACAAATCAGCTTCCAAGACCAAGCTGACGACTAAGAAGCTTTTCGAGATCTTGTCTGCCAACTTGACGGTGACATCGGGGGAGGCAGTGACGCAGTCCTTCCTCGAAGTCTTGATGGCTCTGTGGAATTCCTTGCTCAGCGACACTTCTTTCCGAGAGGAAGTCCTGCTTTCTGAGGAGCTCTTCGGAAAGCGAAGTCCCATCAAGTCCATATATGTTTTGCGAGACCTTGCCACTGCTTGCAAGAAGCAACCGCCTTGCGTGAAGTGGGTGTTCGATGCCCTCATGGATGCGGCGTTGAACAAAATCTTCAAGCAAGG